TGGAGAGGAGAGACAGAGGCTCCTCCAGCGATAACTCACGTCCAGTTGGAAGGAAACAGGCAGAGACTGTCCTGCCTGGCTCAGTTTGAACTATGTTCTGTGTACAAAGAGACAGTTTATCTGCTGAATCTCCCAGCTTTTCTCTCCCTCACCAAGCAAATCACAATTAAAATCTCCATTGCACAAGCTAGAGAAGAGGAAGAAGGATGGCTAAGTTAGTCTTGGGGTTTGGCTCCAAACAGGACCTCGTCTTGCCCTGTTCCAGCCCTTGGGTGCGGGGCCTTCAGAGTTTGTGTTTGTTTCCTGGCTTTAAAACGGCTGTGAGAGCTTCCTGCCCCCTCCCAGCTACTTCATCACAGATTTCTTTGTTCCAGGATGGGGCTGTGTTTTCAGGGGAAGGAAAAGCATTTTCTGAAAGCAAATCTCCCTGGAATGTCTCAAGAGGGGGGACGCAAAATGACAACTGATTTCTGGGATCCAGTATTTCTGGGTGAGATTTTAACATCCTTCTCCAGCTCCTCCCCCCCACCCCAGCTCCTCTGATGCTGCCAGTCTTTAACACGACACTGCAAGTGTCAGCCTGACTTTACAGGGGAAAACCCAGAAGGAAAGTGCCTTCTCCAGAAGGAGACCTGCCCTAGGGCAGGGGCAAAGCTGGGGGCGAGTCCACATTTCCCAGCCCTGGGCCATTAGCGCTGAATAAGCCACCTTCCATTAGCCACCCTGAGGCCAACAGCATCGTCCAGCACCTTCCAGTCACACATCTGGGCAGTAAATGGTGATTCTCCCACCTCTGGAAAACAGCACTTCCCACTGCCTGATTTTCCTCCCCGCTCGCTGCGTCTCGCAGGCGGGTGACCCAAGCCGCCGGGCTGTGGGGGCACCGCTGCCCGTGTGTGGACCCTCCTGAGGCTCTTGGAGGGTGGGACACGCACCCACGAGCAGGACCCCTTGGGGTTTGGGTTTCTCTGCCACCCATCCGGCATCCCCAGCCCCTCCAGCTCAGGCCCCTTGGCGGCTTTCCAGGCTCACGCTAGGACTCGCACTGGTCTCTGTCCCTCTCTAGTGGCTGTTGTACAGCCGTGTCCCGGAGCTGCCAGGAAGGTTTTAACGCGACGGGTTTAGATGCAGAAATGCCAATAAAATGACATCAACAAATTCCAGGGGAACTGATTTTATCCAGCAGTTGTGGAAAATCACTTCAACACGACTTGCCATTCTGATAAAAACAGATCAGTTCATTGCCACTGACGTGACTCTCAGGTTATTTTATGTGTGAACTCACAAGACAGCACACCAGTTCAGGACAAACCAGTTCAGCTCTATCCCAGTGGAAGGTTTTGAGCTGTCTGGAATGATTTAGTTTGGAGTTTCCATTTCTGGGTGATTTTTAAAACATCAGCGCAGTTCACTGGTGCTGAGAGGAAAGGGCATCTCAGACCGTCAGAAACGAAACTCCATTTCTTAGCGGTGGCTAACTGGTCTGTTTTCAGGAGAGCTTTTATCATCAGGCTGGTTTTCTTGCTTTGAGTGGGGGGGTTGGAGCAGAGACCCCCGAGGTCCCTCCCAGCCTGGGTTACTCCGATTCTGTGAGCTCTGGTTAGGGGACACTTCCCTGTAACACGAGGTGGTTGTATTTCCACCCTCACCCCATGCCCAGGGGCAGAGAACTACCATTTCACCTGCAGCCCCGGGCTGTAAGGGCCCAGCCACAGAAGGGAAAAGAAAACCCAAACCCCGCCAGTATAAAATACAGCCCCATTCCCACCTAAGGCAAAGAGAAAGGTTTGCGTGGGAGAGCAGAGCCCTGTTAGATCACGCTCTGAGCTCTGGCGTTGGTGCTGGTCACGCGGAAGGGCTTGGCCCCGTCCTCCTGGAGGGAGGAGAGCCCCCATCGTTCCCATACCTGCACTGGAGGTTGGCTCAGAGCACTTCCCCACATCGACCGTGACCTCCCAGGGAGAGTCTGGAAAGAAGGTTTTCAGAGCTGGGAGACGGAGACATTCCTCGGGGCAGGCGCTGCAGTGGCAGCCATCGACCACCTCCACCTCCCCAATGCCGTCCAAGAGCAGGAGCCGACAGGCGGGCCGGCTCGCAGCAGGAACCCGCAGGGCAGGAACGGGGGGCGCCCGGCCGCAGCGGCGAGTCGGGGCGCCTCACCTGCAGCTGCACAGAGCAGGGCAGGTCACACACACGCTGGTGCAAACACGTCACAGAGGGCAACGGCCAGCGGCAGGTCCCTGCTAAAAACCTCTTCTGACCTCGAACCGACTCAGCTTCCGCTGCGTTCTCCCAGCACGGCAGCGCTGCGGTGCTGCCCTTCCCAGTGACACGCTGGCAGTGAAACTGGTTATCCCCCAAACCCCTGCTACAATCAGCTGAACTGTACCGGCTAAAGCCATCCTCGTTTCACCCCAGGCTCCTGACCTGGAGGGTCAACGTGACGACAGCTCTGGGGAACGAATCCGGACCTACCCGCCCGGAGGATGTTGCACCAGCAGTGCCACAGTGGGGACAACAGCGGGACAAGGGGCAACAAGATTTTCCACAGTTACAGCCTCCCAGGTGGATGCTCACAGGACACACGTGCAGCACCCCGCAGAGCTTGTTTCCATTCCCTCTCCAGGGTTAGTTATCCTGGTGGAGATGGGACTTTGGGCAACACCAGCTCTCCTGGGATGAGAGCAGCATCGCAGCCTGTGCACAACTGTGTCCCCAAACGCACAGGCTCCTTCTAGGCCCTCCTAGGAGTGACCATGGCACGTGGTAAGGGAAGGACATGAGCACCCCAGAGGTCAGACATTCATCATGAAATCACAGGTCCCGCCAGTTTGGCTCAACCAGGCACAAAAAGGCCCCCAACCCCTCCACGTACAGGAGAGCAGATGTGGCTGAAAGGGCTGGTCTTGCTGCTGGGCTGGGGGAGGACAGAAACGCGCTTGGGTGCTGCCTGGAGCGGCTGGGTAGGTGCCGTGACAGCCCTTCATCTGAGCTCTGGCCCCTCCTCTGCCAGCATTGCCGGATGGTTTCCATCTGCCTAGCCAGCATAATCCACTGCTTGCTGGCTAGGGGAGGACAAGAGGCCCAGTGACAGGTTTTCTGCAACGCAGAAGCCAAACCCAGGTATTTTAAAACATGTATAATGTCACAGCCCCAGGCACCCATGTATGACCTTCACCCAGACCCAACCACTCCTGCCACGGGGATGACACAAACGCTCCTTTCTCACCTTCTTGCTTCTAAGGAAATCGAGCATGGAGGAGTGTCTGGAGAGCCCCAGAAGGGTGTGGGGGGGGGAGCTGATCCGCTGGGACAGGCAGCTGGAGCGGCACTTTCCAACGTCCATGCTGACAGGACTGCCAGAGGCATCTGAGGAGCACAAGATGGACAAAAGGATCATTCCTCCCTATTTGCGCGATGCTGGGGAGTCCCGAGCTCAAACCAGGGCCAAGCACAACACACAAAGACTGAACAAAAAGACATGGCCCACGCCTGGGAGAGAGATTCCTTCCGCCTGAGCACCTGCAGAAATCCCAGAGAGAAAGCAGGTCCTTCGGCAGCGCTGCAGACACGTCCACTGTGTTTGCAGACCAGGAGTAGAACATTTCATAACAGACTGGGACGTGCGCTGCAGAACAAAAGGAATGTGATTAAAAATTCACTAGGAAACAGGAGGGTTTATTTTCTTTAGTGAGCTCACGAAGGACAGGGTGAGAACAGGTGAATACATTGATCAGCAAAGGGCGAATGTGAATGCTCAGCTGCTGCTGAACTGCGGACCTCGGACGGACAGACCGAACAAGTCTGAGCACCCGGCGGATTCAGGGCAGAAAGCGAAACCCAGCTCTCCTTGCCGAGAGCCGGCTCATGGAGCTGCCCGAGCTGAAAACAAATCTGCCTGCCCCCCAAATCCCCATTTCACAGCTCCCCAAACCCGTCGCATCGCCACGTTAGCACTACAGGCAGAGGATGGGAAGGTGGGAGCGGGAGACCTGGGACCACAGCACCCAGGTTTAATCTGTTTAATCTGCTGTATTTTGAGTTTGCAAAAGGTCAGGGTTGATCGATGCAAATCCTCATTTCATCATATAATAGGGAACAAAACTGGCCTTAAAAATGCCCACTGAGTTGTCCAACACCACTATAATTCATTTGCTTTGAGCTGCTGGAGCGGCAGACCCAGGGTGTGCTGCAAAACTTTGATTTTCAATTGATTTAAAAACTGCTTTTCAGTGTCAGTGCAAGACACAGCCACCATCACCACGCTGCAGGACACCAGGAGATGTGCAGGGACATTTTAAACTCACATTTGGGCATTAGCTGCTGCAAGCTGCCTGAGGCTTTCTTTGCCCAGGGAAGCAAGCGAGCAGCAAGCCAGGCAGCAATTTGCGGTGTATTAGTCACTCCCCGGTGGTGATCCTGAAGTGATCCTGGATGCTCCTCACTCACAGCAAGGGCACAGAGAGCTGGTCACTTTGCAAAGGACACTTTGCCAGCTGAGGACACTGTTAACCCCTGCTCTCCCACCCCTGCAGCGATACAGCACATGCTTATTATTTTTATCACTATCTAGTAGTATTTTTACTATTTTCATCATTTATTTACTCTTCTAAACTTGTTTCCTCTGGAGATGACAAGTTATTAATCCAGGTATGATCACTTTTCACATGAGAACCTGGTATTTTGTGAACACTAAAGGCTAAATTTGTTCAAGTACTGCTCTCCTGCACTGAAAAAAACCCTAAGAGATCTCAGACATTTGGCCACACAGTTAAAGCCATTTTCACCTCTCTGTGCTAAAATCAGCAGACTCATTTGATGCAGCCTTACTGCCACTGCAAGGGGAACTGAGACCAAAGGCTGCTCCTGAAGGCCACAGACTTTTTTTTCTGGTGAATAAATGGGAGTTATTTCCTCCTTTCTCTGCCCAGTAAAGTCAGGACACCCTGTGGTCTTGCTGACAGCCCTTCCAACACTAAACCTGGGACGCAAAAGCCTGCAACTCATGCAGTACCAGAGGCAAACACAGAACTCAACCACAGAACTCAGCCACGTTGCAGCCCACTGGTACAGAAAAGGAAGCCTCCTTCGTGCACATGAACAGACCTAAGGGCCAGGCTACTCATCAGCTCCTGTTCTACAAAACATGTTTGAAGCGTTGGATTATCTGGGCGAGGAGTCCCCAGCGTATTTCTGTCCTTAATCCCCCGAGGGAAAAGCCACAAGGGTAATTTCAACACAAAGGAACATCCAAGGGATGAGTTGGGACACGAGTGGGGAAGCTTAAAGGATCCAGGTTTCCTGCAGGCAAAGGGGGAACTCACCACGCCCGACGTAGATGAAGTGGCTCTGCCTCCTGCAGCAGCCCCGCTCTGCAAACAGGTTCCCTTGCTCGGCCTCTCTGCCAACGGCTCCGGCACCTGCAGACACAAACCACCAAGCCCAGCATTACCCCAGCTAGAACTCAGCCCTTCTCCTGCTCGAGCTGGGAGGAGGCACTGAGGACCGAGCACGGGTCTCCAGCCACCCGAGCCAGGCGGCTGCAGCGTAAGGCAGATGTTCAGAGCAGTCACAAACGGACGTGACCCATTTGACCCCTCAGACCTGGCTGCTTGGGCCAAGCCCCTCTTTAATTACCCCAAGGCAGTGCTGTGCTTAGCAGTGTTTTACCTTCGGATGTCAGTCCCCTGCTCTCTTCTACTTCCATGTCACCACAATGCGAGCTCGGGTAGGAGCAAGCTCACACAGCACAGAGCAGCTCACAGGCACTAAACACCCCAGAGATTTCTGCACAGCAGCTTCCTCCGAGACCAACCCCGAATTACTTCCCAAGTGCAACCCTCTGTGCCGCTCACAGCGAAGCACCACAGAAAACACGCTCTGTGCCCACGCAGAAGCATCAGACCCGAACGAAACCCCCGCACGGCCTCCCGCCGCGCACCCACACACGCCCTTTTCTCTCCTGTGCAAGAGGCCAACGCAGCAAGAAGGAAAAAGGAACTTACTGGCACAGACGTGAGCATGCAAGAGCCCTGCGAAGAGGGCTACAGCGAGCGGGTCCTGCATACTGCACCTCGGGAAACACAAAGGTCCTCAGTGCCTCTGGTACTTATACCGGGCCCTCCCTCAGCAGGCGAGAGGGCGAAGAGCTCAGAGACAAACGGGTTCGCATATCGCCGGCAAATGTCTCCAGATTGTGATCTGAGCCAACACCGAAGCAGCCTGGGCAGCGACGGCATCTCTCCCACAACATGTCTACGGGCATCAGGCTTCGAGCAAACTTCAAAGCGTTTCTCGAGAGCAACTGGTTTTGCTCCCAGTCTGGGGAAGCTCCCTTGGGGGTCTTTGTTCTCACCACCACTTTCAAACTAATTAAGTTTGTGGAGTCACTTTCAAGTCCCCTCATTTGAAAGGAACGTGCATCCCTCATCCTCACTCATTGCATTCAATGGCCTTTTTATCTAGGGACAACCCCCTTCTGTTCCTCCCCACCACCAAAACCGAGACAAAGCTGGCTCTTTATCAAAGATGGCAACACAGTGGGACTCGGCCGCATCGGCACGACCCCACGGAGAGGCCGGCAGCTCCGCTTTTGCCTCTTTTCAGCACGACCGAGCCCTGGAGCCAAGAGGAGGCGTCTTTCTTCCCAGCTTGTTAAATACATGTAGGAAAGTATTAGTCTCCCAAGTCCTGGAAACAGCAGAGGCACAGATGGTGCTTGTGCGCTGCGAGGGCCTCTCACGGGCGCGGTGGCGGGGGGCAGCCGTACGGCCTGAACGCCCGCTGCCCGGGGCTCCTCATCACAGGAGTCAGGGTCTCTGCGCCCACTTGGCCAAGCGCAGGCAGCAGGGAACAGATCCAGTTCCCAGGGAGGTTTTTTTGGCCAGACTCAGGAATGAGAGCGCCCAAGGGAACAGTGATGGCAGCACAAGGCATCTGACACCACTCTGGCATTCAAAATAGGGTTGGGGGGGGGGCTTGGGGGATTTTTGGCTGCAATTACTTACAGGTGCAGCAATCACGGAAATTTATGGAAGCTGTTAAGCCCCCAGGAACAAGCTGAGTCTGCCTGGAGCTCATACATAGTTCCTGGAGGATAGCTGGGCTTCACTGGGATAGATGCTTGAAGAAACAACCAGCAAAAGCAAAACGCCGTTAGAAGGCGTCCGTTCCAAACTATGCCATCTACCGCAGGCTACAGAACACCAGCCCCTTCACCCCAGCAGCGCAGAGCAGAAATCAGGACAGCTATTCAACAAAAAAAAATAAAAATTTAATTGTGTTCAGCCAAGAAACAAACATATACAAAGAAAAATACACTTCCATAAAAAAAGTTCACCATGCCTGGGCATTTGAGCATCTCCATTCACAGCTCTGTGGTGCTGCGGGGTACCTGGGGGGGCAGGGACCGCTAGCCCACGCTGGAGACCAGTCTGCACCACGGCGGCAGGGCACAGGCAAGTGACGTACAAAATACTTATGAAAAAATACGCATTTTAAATAAAGAACTTACAACAACTTAAACTTTATACAAAATATTATGGTTGCCATTTCAGTGTCTCGATTCTAGGAACTATTTTTGAACTCTCAACATCCTGGTTTCCACCCCATGTCCATCCCTGAAGTCTCTTTCTCCAGAGAGCTCCATCTCTGTCCAGCTCAGTCCAAAGTACCTGAAAATGAAAAAAATCCCAAAATATATAGCCTCAGGAATCAGAAATGCGGTTATGTGAACAAAAGAAACGTGCTTACAAGCTGCCACAGGAATATGCAGTAACTTTGTAAAATTTAAGCAAATCTCACATGGGTAAAACCAAATCTAGCTAAAAAGTACTGAACGTGTCTCAGGGTCCACTCGATTTGTGTTTCGCCTCTCAGACAGGGGCATAACAAGTTACACCATTAATTATTAAAGATGTGGAAACAGAGGGCTCTGCAAACGATTCTTTTTCTCCCAAGAATGAGATTACACAAAATACTGAAACCAAGTGAAGCCAAGTAGAAACTCACCTTCCAAAAACGCGAACTCATCAATAGCTTCGATGGCATTATCTGCAAAGCAAATTGAAAACAATTAACACAGATAAATCGACTCCATATTTGCATCTGCTTCAAACAGCATTTGAAATTACATCACAGTCCAGTGGCAAATTTCAGAGAGGTCTACTTATTTTGGAGCTGGTGTGTGAAATTATTAGCACAATATTTGGTAGAAGAGAAGTTTTTCTTTCCCATCTTCAGAGAAAGAACGAGAAGCACCTTATGGCTGCTTCGTCACACTGGGACAGGTGGAAAAATCCTCTGTTCTAGCAACCCCTTGCTAAGGATAGCACAGAATATGGTCTCATACCCAGGTCTTTTCTCTGCAGAGTCTTCCTTTTCCCTTGCTGGGCGTACACGTAAGCGTCTTTGGCTATTGTTTCAACAAACAACTCCTGCAATGGAAAAATAAGAGTTTCACACAGGGAAAGTGTGACGGAAGAGACAATACCCTGAGGAAAGGAAAGGTCCTACAAGACTTCAGGAAGAAAACAGAATGTCCATCTTAAAATTCCCCCTTTCCAATAAACAGCTCTGAATCTGACAAACGAAAGCGTTGGGACAGTGATGCACACGAGGAATAACAAGGGAGGAGAGACGGCCGAGAGGGTAT